ATGAATTTTGGTCCAAGCTTTAGAAAATGGATCTCCATCATGCACCACAACGCTACGACGAGACTTATGATAAATGGCAGCTTAGCCCCACCAATTGATCTACAGAGGTCGGTCAGACAGGGCGATCCCCTGGCTCCCCTCCTTTTCATTATTGTAATGGAGGCCCTGGCGGCCAAAATCAAGCATCACAAAGACATTCGAAAGATTCAAATATCATCCATACCGGAAGAAGCTATCCCCATATGCTCTCTCTTTGCAGATGATCTATCCTTAATGGTTGATGCTACACACGAGAACATGGAAGCGATTAAGAATTTAATGAAAAAAATTTGTAAAATAGCAGATATGAAGGTCAACAGGGGAAGCGAGACACTAGGCTGGTGGATCCATCACCAGGGAGTTAGACCCCCAGAGGAGCCAAAAATCAAATGGTTATCCCCAGATGAACCAATAAAAGTGTTAGGTATCTCATTGGCGGTGCATGGGAAACCCAAAATAAACGATGAGGTTATTCTCCAAAGCGCTCAGACCAAATTGGAACTATGGAAGAACAAGCACACATCCATAATGGGCAGAGCTTTGGTTATTAATAACGTAATCCTAGCGGCTATGTGGTATAAATCCACAATCTGACCCCTGGACTGCAAATGGACAAAATCACTCCCACAACAACTCAGAGCGTTCTTATGGAGAGGAAACCACGAACTCCAAAATGTTATTAGTAGGGTAGCTTGGTCCTCTGTCATCCAACCAAAATCAAGAGGAGGTCTGGGCATCATTGATCCAACCACCCAAGTCATGGCGCTATCTATCTAATGGGTGAAGAGACTTCTACTCAATCCCCAAACTCCATGGAGCGGCCTTGCGTGGGAACGACTCAAAAGACTTGCTCCCCAGACAAGTGAAGACATAGATCCCACTATGTGGCTTGAAAACAGGGATTGGCCAATCCCCAGAGGAATAACTAAAGAGATAAATCCAGATCAAATGTCTAGTAGGGAGGCTGCCAGGAAAGACATCAGTAATGACCCGTTTTGGCCTACCTTACTTAAGACCTGGAGGAAACTACCAATTCCGGACAAACACTTCCCAAACACATGGGAAGAAATCAATCAACAACCACTCTTCAACAATACATGGATCAGGAACCAGAAGGGAACTACACTTCACTGCAACGATGCACCCTGGAAAAACTGGATTAAAAAGGGAGTGATTAGGATTAGAGACATCTGGAACGATGTGATTGGGGACTGGATCTCACCTCAAACACTTCAATCAAAACTTAAATACTGTCACAACATTCAAAGAAATTTAGAAACAATTGTTGAACTGATCCCGATTGAATGGATCAGGATTCTTAGGAAGGGGAAAAAATTCCAGGCAAGCGACTGGGTGGCCATGAGAGAAGAATCGCAGAGGGTAGGTAATATCATCCTGATATCCCAAGAAAAAGAAGCTCTTATTGCCCCTGGAGAATTACAAGAAGATACCACATTAACCCTCAACAAAAAACGAGATCCATTCTGGGTACCAGTCGAGTCCATCTTTCGAATCAGAGTTATGTGTCTTGATGCACAGTCTTACCTCGCCTTCATACCAAATACACCCATCTCTTAATTACCTTTTGACCCGTTATACTGGTCTTGGGGATCACAATAAAGTCCAACAGGAATTTCTGAAGAGATTTTCACATCCTATCGGTCAAATCGACATACTGTATGCTCAGACCGAGGATTACTTTAAAAGACAGGGTGATGGAAAGATGGATGAAACACCTGAGAATTAACAGGGATGACCTCACAAGCATCAAGTGGTTCAAAGACTCTAAAATCAAACCCTCCAAAGTGGCCTCGCTTCAATGGCAGATAGTGCACCGCTGCCTCCCCACGAATGATTGGCTTGCTGACCGTACCACTCTGGGAGAAAGAGGGATTTCAGATCCCTGGTGCAAGCTATGTAAATCTGCATTCCCAAGTCGGAAATTTCTGGAAACAATTGAACATATCTTTTTAGAATGTCCGGGTTCCATTTGGTTTTGGAGGTGGTGGGACCGCATCTGGCATCAATTAGAGGTAAGTCATGCTTGGCCGTGGTGCTGGAAAGCAATACTGCTGGAACATTGGTCACCTGATCCAGAGGACAATTTCACCCTGAACATTTTTTCCCTAGGCAGAAGGGCGGTGCTCTGGGCGATTTGCCAGAGAAGGAATACTTTTGAATGGGAGTATGCGAGGTTAGACGGCCCAGAATTCACCGACACGATCAAGCAACAAATTCAAACCCACATACACGATAAGTGGGTAATCCTCAAAGAAGAAATCCAATTTAACTCAAACAAATCATAAATATCTAACTCTCTCAAACAATTCAGCAGTAACTGGCTGGGAGGGGTAAAAGGGGGAAAAATAGGGAGGGTGATATGGGAGGACGAGGGCACAGAGGAAGATCAAATAACAAACAGAAATTTCAAACTAATTTTTAATAACTGGACTCAGGTGGAGCCTACAATCCCCCTACGCCCAGCCAACGAGTTTCCAAGTTTCTTCCCTCTACCTTAGGATGTTCTGGTCCCACTATCCTGGTACGGGAAGGAGCTATAACTCCCCCAGCCAGAAAGATCCTTCCCTGACCTGGGTTACCCGTCTTCAGCCTTATCTCACAAAACCTCAGATAGCACAAAAGTCATTTTCAATTACAAGCAGGAGGAATTTTTTCTCATGTCAACAGTCCTGGAAAAGGCTATTTAAAACAGGAGTGTATAGGAAGGTTTGTATTACGCAGGAAGAGGGATAAGAAGGCCAAATGGGAGCAAACCTGGTCTCTGCAATTCTCCTCTGCAAAATGAAAACTTTAGAATGGATAGCCAGGTCCTTACCTATAATCTTGGAACATTAATAGTTAGTCATACTCTCAGTTCAAGCGCCTGTTTAGGGTGAAGAATGAGAGCAAAATGTTGACTCCAGAATAGATAGTCAGGTCCCTATATATAAGCTTGGAAGGCTAATAGTGTCAGTTATATTCTCAGATCAGGTGCCCTTTGAGGGTGAAGAGGCAGGGAGTGACTTGAGAAATTGGAAGTGCTAGTTATACATGCATATCTGGCGCCCGTTCAGGGTGAAGAGGCGCAGGATCCAAACAGGAACAAAACTCTCCTACCGTTTCCTGTTCTGTGTTTATTCTATGGGACGCTGGGCCCGGTTCCCAGCACATGCTGTTCCTTGTTTTTCCAATGTTTATGATGTAAGGGACGCTGGACCCGCTTTCCAGCAGGTGCAGCTCCCCACCAATGGAACGGAGCCATCTACCAAGTAGGGCGAGTAGAGGGGGTGTCTGCTCTTATCAGCACCCCCCCTACTCCCCTCCCATGATGTTTGAAAAAAAAAAAAAAAAAAAGCACTTCCCTGGATATGAAACACGGTGACCTTTCTCCAAAGTTTGGAAGGCAAATAGAAATCCGAGTCACAAAAGAGAGTTATAGCTGCAGTATGGGGCAAGATACAGTTTGCAAATGCACTTTTGTTTTTTGGGCACCCTACCTGGCCAGAAAGCTGGGTTGTATACATTGCCTGAACTGCAATTTGAAACTGTATTTTGGCCCATAATGCAATTATAACACATTTCTGTGACTCCCGCGTAGGTTCCCCAGTTCTGGCCCCCTTGTTTCGGTCATCGTTTCGGCTAGTAGGAGGGGATTACAGGAGCAGCCCCTGCTCCTCGAACCGGTGCTGGTTGCTCCAATACATTCTATTGGTGGGGAGCTTCACCTGCTGGAAACGGGGTCCAGCGTTCCATCGGCCACATCTGAGACTTGGTCCTGCCAAACCTGCTGGCATTGATTGCCCCTGGAGGCAGGGGAATTGTCTGTTCGGGGTAACCGTAATAGTTGGATGCATGAGCCTTGTTCATGAGCCTTGTTTTCACCCCCCCCGTCCCTCCCCCCCCTCCCCCCTCTTCTCTCTTTTTCACTCCAAGCACAGTATTTGCACCTGTTTTCCAACATTACTATGGACGAAATTTTAATGAAATTCACTATTTTTGTTCTTAAAAGGCAGCGGCTCCTGGGTCACACCTAGCGTTTGGAATAGTCAACTTTAGCAGTTCTTAAAACACTGTTCAGGGCAAAAAAAGCCGCCACTAAATCTGCATTCATGCCACTTCAAAACAAAAAGGTCACAGTTTCAACCCCCGCTAAACTTGCACATTCGAAACTTGAACAATGACATCAGTGCCATTTTGTCTTTTCTTGCCTATTTCAAACTAAAAAGCTGACTCAGGAGCAGTTTCCCCTTTTTTTGTTTTTATTATTTTGAAAATTGAAACACATCCCAGTCCGCAACCTCCGAGATGGTGTGTGGCACACCATTGAAAAAAAAAAAAGGAAAAATAAAAGAGAAGGTTCCCGTCTATTCACAGCTTGTGCTGGGAACTGGGCCCAACAACCCAAGAGGAGGCCACCTCTCAAGATCACAAGAGGGAGACTGGAGAAGAAACAAATAGACTACTCAGGCTGCAGCATTCATTGCCCTGGGGAAACCAGGGGATTAAACCACCAGTATGCTTCCCAGCCATTTTGCTCCGATGTGGCTGCATGCAAGCCGCAAGTTTCGGGGTTCTGCCTACTGGAGCAGAATCATGGCTGACGGCACCAGTCAAACGACAGCCCGTGCCACTTCCTGTTTTCTTGGTGCGCAGTGCGTTCAGGGCTCGGCAAGGGAAGGGTCAAAAAACTATTGGTGGTTTAACTGCCAGTGCTCTCTTTTTTTTTTTTTTTTTTAAGCACCCCCCCTCTAGTGCTAGCAGTGCTGACAAGAGCAAACACTGCTAGCACCTAGGGAAAGGCTCCATCTATTGGTGGGGAGCAACACCTGCTAGAAAACAAACAACACCTGCTAGAAAACAAACTAACTGCTAGTGCTCTGTCACAGTGGAGGATGAGAATGAGAACCTGCTGACGACCTGCGTTACGGGCTACTGGCGCCCTGGTCTCCCGCGGGGGACCGGCCGGCACGGCCCGGCCCGCTCATTGCGCAACACGGTAGGACAGGTTTCCCTGTTATCTGACGTGGCCTCAGTGCTGATGACGGGCACGCCACGTGGCGTGTCGGTAGTGGACCTCTAGGGGTGGCATCAGTAAGGAGGGGCAACACTAGGAGCGTGTAGTAGTGTGTGACGTGGGGTTCGGAGGATGGACATGGACGGTTCGAACGAGATGCGGTTGGGAGCTGTCGAGTGGTTTAGCACCGCCCAGGTGAGAGCGGCGGCTTTAAGCCGGATGGTGGCGATGTTGCGAATGATTGTGACCGAGAGGAGGGTGCCATCCATGTCGTGGATTCGGAGTGTCCAGCAATCCATGCTGGAGATTGCGCGGGGGTTGGAGGAGGGGCCGCCCCCCCATCCGGAAGCACCTACAGATCGGCCACAATTTCAGGCACTGATGCGGCGCTGTTGCGAAGAGCTGGAGGAGGGGCAAGGTCTCTGCGGCTAGCTGGAGGAATGTTTTTTTGAGGACGACGACGATATCACGGCAGACCCTCACAACAGCAACACCAGTGCAGATGATGCCGCCAAGATTGACAGCGGTGATGGCAATGATCATTCCTTCAGCATCGCTCGGATCTACGACAACGAAGATGGCACTGCGGACGGTGTTAATAACGGTGCAAGCATGACCGGCAACTATATCGATAACAATTTCGGTGCAGTCACCTATGGCATCGTCGATAACTGCAGCAACAACGCTGGTCGTGACGGCACTGCGCACAACAACAACAACAATAGAAACAACAGTGATAACAACAAAGGAGTTGATAACAACGGGGACATCAACATCAACAATAATAACAACAACGATATGCATTACAAAAACGACGGTGCTTATGAAGGGGTAAGTGAGGTTGGGCAATCTCTTCTATTTCTTCTATTGTGCGCCGCCCCCTCCCCTCTTCCCCTTCCCCTCCCCCCAGATGTCTTCTTCTGCTCTTCGGCTGTAGTAGAAGGGGGAGATGGGCGAGAGGTGAAGGTGATCGGGTTGATTGGAAAACAGGAAGGTCGGGATTGGGGGAGAGGAGTGGGATGGAGGCGTGAGGGGGTAGGATAGAAGAGTAGCAAGTGAGTTCGGGATTTTATCCGCTAGCCATGTGGAATTGTTGTTCTCCCTTTCCCCTATAATAAGGATTTGGCCACGTGTTATGGCAGGCGGGGCATTAAGGATTGGCACTGGGGCGATTGCCGGGGTTGGCGGACAGATGACGGTTGGCGTCATGCTGCCTGTGTGATTGATTGGAGCCCTGCTGCAGGTTTGACTTCACGCCCACGATTAGTTAGGATTCGCCACGTGGCTATCTCGCTATCAAGTTTGCTACATACTGTCTCCCCACTTGAGCGGATTCGTTGATTCCGATAAGGAGGGTGCACGTAACCTTATATAAGGAATTGCAATAGTGGAACGGRCTTTCGTCCGAGGTGTTCCTATAATTGATGTTTTAGCCCTACTTCTAAACACCCCTCCTCTCCGTCGTGTTGTGAGAGTGATTTTTGAAGATGCTGAGGAATTTAGAATAGGGATATAAAGACTTTAGATTGCGATGGCCAGTTAATCCCCTCAGTTGAGGGCAATCAATGCTGGTCATCGGATCAGTGATGTGTGCCTACATGTCAATTCAGGTGTTAACTAATCTATAGTACAATGGACACGTGGCATGGCTRTATAACTGCTGGATTTTTACAATTTTCGCTTTCCTGAAATGGTAAGGGACGCTGGACCCGG